GGCAGTGAAAGGGGGAGTTCACTTGAAGCGCCTTTGCCTTTATGGAAAAAAATGAATGAAAATGCTATTTGCTATTTATAGGGCTAAAATGCTGGGACACAAATGAAAGCAAACAAAAAAAAAAACCCATTGCAAAATGCAAACATGTAAAAGACAACAAAAAAGTGGGGGGAGGGAATGTTTTGCTTGGCCCTGAGGGAGGGGAAGCAGCTGGGTTGGGCTGAGGGGAGGGAAAAATATGGGGAAGGGGCTTGTGCTGAGGGGAGGGGTGGGGAGGAGGTCAGGAGCAGAAGAAGAAAGGGGAAGGCACTAAGGTACAGGGGTGCAGGAGAAACAAATCCCATGGGGCCAAGTGCAGACAATGAGGAAGAGGCAGGAGGGGAGGTGTCAGTGGGAGGGGGGAACAGGGTGATGCTAGGAGAGGAAGGGCACTGGCTAGAGGGAGGAGGGGAAGGTCCTGGGAGAAGTCTTGAAAGAAGAAGTGGGCATGAGGAAGGTGGGGATGGAGCAAGGCCTGTGTGAGGGCACAGGGGCATGAAGGGAATGGGGGGCAGAGAGTGTTGAGGGGATGGGTATCAGGGAAAAAGAGGAAAAAGGGGGCAGGGGCAGTGAGGGAAGCGGGAGGAACTAGGAGGGTCAGGTGCCAGGAGATTCTGGGGGTGAAGCAGAAGGGCAGACACCTACGGGGGAGGGAATAGCCTCAGAGGAGAGAGGCAGGGCAGGTGTGTAGAGGGAGGTGTTAGGAGAGGGGATGAGGAGGGGTAGCTCACTTTATCAGAGTGGGGCTACTGGAGGAGTGGGCACAGGGGGGAGAGAAGGGCTGGGGGGGGGGAGGGTCAGGTGCCAGGAGATTCTGGGGGTGAAGCAGAAGGGCAGACACCTACGGGGGAGGGAATAGCCTCAGAGGAGAGAGGCAGGGCAGGTGTGTAGAGGGAGGTGTTAGGAGAGGGGATGAGGAGGGGTAGCTCACTTTATCAGAGTGGGGCTACTGGAGGAGTGGGCACAGGGGGGAGAGAAGGGCTGGGGGGGGGGGGCAGGTCTCAGGAAGGCTGAGGGCAATGAGAAGGGAAGGAGTCAGGACAGCAGAGGAGGGTGAGGGGTTGGGGGGCAGCAGGCACCAGGGGAGCTGATGGAGCAAAGGGAGGAGACATGGCAGTAGAGGGAAAAAGTAGAAGTTTATAAGATATTTATTAATAACTTGGGTGATATTTATTAAGAATGTATTATAAATTACTGTTATTATTATTATTAGGAATTTATGCCATTAAAAAAACACTTTGTGGGGGGAGGGTGGCGAGTCCCTTTTTTGTCTGGCTGATTATTTTCAGGAATAACGGCATTGTGCAAAAGGGTTTTTCTTGCGCAAGAAGGGGCAGTGTAGACAGCTCCTTCTAGCGCAAGAGCCTCTTCTGCAAAAAAGGCGGCTCATTAGGTGTGCAAACGAGGCTTGGCAATATTCAACGCTTAGCCTCATTTGCATACTTCTCATGCAACAACCCGCCAGTGTAGACATAGCCTCTGGCTTCGTTCCCCAGATGTGAAGAAGGTTTCTGTGAAATTCGAAAGCTTGTACCTTTTACCAACAGGCTCCAGTAAAAGATATTACCTTGCTTATCTTGTCTCTTATATAGCCTCAGACCGATGTGGCTCCAACATCACTGTAAATAAGCAATGAAGTAACATATATAATAAAAAGCCGACTTTTAAAGATTGAGTTGTAATCATCTGACCTGATTGTAACATAAGATCATTTGGCGTTTAAAATTTTAAACTGACAGTGTCTTTTTTAAATATTATTTGTAGGTGATCCAATATCTAGGAGCCAAATATAAAATCAGGGTGATCTGATATGAACTCCATTCTTTTTATTCTATTGTAACTGCTTAAATATAATTTTTCTCTCCTCACCCTTTTTCATTTTTTCCTCCTATTAGGCCAATTGACTTGTGTGTTTTACATTCTTCATAGCTTATCTCTACTCCCCCTTCTCCTCAGGTCGCTGCAGCAACTGGTCACACTGTGGTGTTAGTGGACCAGACAGACGAAATCCTGAAGACCTCCAGGAAAGGGATTGAGGATAGCTTGAAAAGAATGTCAAAGAAGATGTTTACAGACAAGCCTGAGGTGACATTGTGGTATTTATAGCCACTGGACAAATTTTATTGAATGTGATAGAATTACTATTTTAATGTGATTGTTGGCAGTTATTGCACACATGCAAGAGCATCAGATTGCTAGAATAGTATAAAAATGCATTGAAAAAGCTGGGAAGATATGAAGTTCAAATATTTTTGGAGTTTTTGGTAGAGAAAGTTGGTGCATCGTGGGTCTTTTCCCCCCTCAGATTGTAGTCTTAAACGACAGATTGACCTCAAAAGTTGGGAAGTCTTTGAAAACTAAGGTTAAAGTCCAAAGTTTACATGTATATTATTTATCCATATCTAATTGTAAAATT